GGAGTGGCTGGGCCCGTGAGCCATGGCCGCTGAGCCTTAGCGTCCGGAGCCTGTGCTCTACAACGGGAGAGGCCACAACAGTGAGAGGCCCGCGTACCACAAAAAAAAAAAAAAATCTTGCTGCTTTTAAGATTTTTCTCATTATAATAGTTTTGAGTATTTTGATTATGATGTATCTTAGTCTTAAAGGTAATCTTGTTTCTTGTGGTTGGTGTTTGTTGAGCTTCTTGATCTGTGATTTATAAATGTTTTCATCAAACTTGGAATATCTTGGCTGTAATTTCTTCAAATGCTCCTCCCCCACCTTGCCATTTCTTCTCCTACATGATCTCTGGTTATACCTATATTAAGCCCCTTGAAGTGATCCTCTGTCCTTTTTAAAAAAAATCTTATTTCTCTGTTTCATTTTGGAAAGTTTCTCATATCTTCAAGTTCACTAGTCTTCTATACTATCTGATCAGTTGTTAATTTCACAAACTATATTTTTGATATCAGACATTGTAGTTTTCATCTGTACAAATTCTATTTGGGTCTTTTTTTGTATTTTTCATGTTTCTACCTAACCTTTGGAGCATGTGGGGTACAGGTAGGATAACCATTACAATGTCTTTGTCAGTTAATATTAACATCTGTGCGGGATACGTTTCTTTACACTCACTGTAATTTTTGGTTGGACTAGATTTGACTTTGTTAGGTATTTAATATTTTTATATTTCTATAGATATTTTGGTTCTTGTTCCAGGATGCCACAAAGTTACTTGGAAACAAATGGATCCTTTCATATCTTGTTTTATGATTTGTTAGGAATGAGTGGAGCAGTGCTTAGTCTGGGGCTCATTATTTCCCACTTCTGAGGCCAGACCCTTCTCTCCTCTTGCCAGTGTGTTTGGGGCTCTGTGAGCATGAGGTCTTCCAGGCCAGCTGGTGGAGCAGGCACTGTGCAGCAGGATATGTGAGCTCCCTTCTTCCTTTCAGGTGGTTCTTTCCTGGCCTCAGGGAGTCCATCATACCTGTGATGTGCATAGAACACGCGCCTGCCTCCGGGGGTTCCCCGCGCCTCTGGGCGCCCTCCCAGTGCACTCTGTCCCATGCCCTGAACTCATTGAGCCCACTGGCTTCCATCTGCTTCCCACTTCCTGAGCCCAGGCCCATGACTGTTGTGTGTCTTTATCTCTCAGGAGCCGATGCTCTACATCTGGAAAACTTGCTTCACTTATTGTTTATTTTTTTTTTTTTTAAATAAAAAAATACTCATTCGGGCTTCCCTGGTGGCGCAGTGGTTGGGAATCCGCCTGCCGATGCAGGGGACGCGGGTTCGTGCCCTGGTCTGGGAGGATCCCATGTGCCGCGGAGCGGCTGGGCCCGTGGGTCATGGCCGCTGGGCCTGCGCGTCTGGAGCCTGTGCTCCCCAACAGGAGAGGCCACGGCAGTGAGAGGCCCACGTACCGCAAAAAAAAAAAAAAAAAAAAAAACTCATTCAAAACCCACCACGTGCCAGATTTACTTAGGACACATCAGTGAATATGATCAATGAAAGCCTTTGCCCTACTGGTGCTTACATCTTACCGGGCAGAGACAGACTATTCATAATACACATAATAAATAAGTTCATGTTATATAATGTAAGGGTGATAAAACACAGTGGAAAAGACAAATCATGGTAGGGTAGGTTACAGTTTTTTCTAGCTTTATTTAGGTGTAATTGACACGTAAAAATTAATTATACTTAAGGTATACAGCAACATGATGGTTTGATATCCATCACTTCACATACTTACCTTTTTTTTTTTTTTGGTATGCTGAGAACACAAGATCTACTCTCTTAGCAAATTTCAAGTATACAATACAGTATTATTAATTATAATCACCATGCTGTATATTAGATCCCCAGAACTTATTCATCTTATAACTGAAAGTTTGTACCCTTGGATCAACATCTTTCCATTTTCCCACCTCCAGCCCCTGGCAGCCATGGTTCTATCCTCTGGTTCCATGTGTTCAGTTTTTTTAGATTCCACATATAAGTGACATTGTGTAGTTTTTTGGGGTTCTGTTTGACTTATTTCACTTAGCATAATATTCTCCAGATTCATTCACGTTGTTGCAAATGGCAGGATTTCCTTCTTTCTTGTGGCATAATATTCCATTGTGTGTGTGTGTGTACCACATTTTTTTTATCCATCAGTAGACATGTAGGTTGTTTCCACGTCTTGGCTATTGTAAATAATACTCGAGTGAACATGGAGGTGCAGACATATCTTTGAGATCTTGATTTCCTTTCCTTTGTATATATGCCCAGTAGTGGGATTGCTGGATCATGTGGTAGTGAGTGCTATTTTTAATTTTATGAGGAACATCCACACTTTTCCATAGTGTTCCATTGGCTGCACCAATTTACATTCCCACCAATAATACACAGGGGGTCCCTTTTCTTCACATCCTTGCCAACACCTGTTATTAGTTACCTGTTTTTGATAATAACAATTCTAACAGGTGTGAGGTGATCCTCATTGTGGTTTTTGACTTGCACATCCCTAGTGATGAGAGATATTGAACATCTTCTTACGTGCCACTTGGCCATCTGTATGTCTTCTTTGGAAAAATGTCTATTTAGGTCTTTTGCCCATTTTTTAATCAGAGTTTTTTTTGCTACTGAGTTGTGTGAGTTCCTTATGTTTTGGATATTAACCCTTTATCAGGTACATGATTTGTAAATATTTTCTCCTGTTCAGTAGGTTGCTTTTTCATTTTGTTGATGCTTTCCTTGGCTGTACAAAAGCTTTCAAATGGAATGTAGTGTCCCACTTGTTTATTTTTGACTTGCTTGCCTGTGCTTTTGGTGTCATATCCAAAAAAATTGTTACCAAGACCGATGTATAGGACATTTTTTCCTACATGTTTTTCTGTAGTTTTACGGTTTCAGGTCTTAAGTTTAAGTCTTTAATTCATTTTGAGTTGGTTTTTGTATATGATGTAAGATAAGGGTTCCATTTAATTCTTTTGCATGTGGCCCTCAGCTTTCCCCACACTGTTTATTAAAGAGACTGTCCTTTCCCCCTTAAGTATCCTTGGCAGCATTGTTGAAAATCAGTTGATCATAAATATACGGGTTTATTTCTGGGCTCTCAATTCTGTTCCATTGGTCTATATGTCTGTTTTTATGCCATACATACTTTTTTGATTACTATAGCTTTTTAAAGTATGCCATACATACTTTTTTGATTACTATAGCTTTTTAAAGTAGTTTGAAATCAGGAAGTATGATGCATCCACGTTTGTTCTTCGTTCTCAAGATTGCTTTTGCTATTCAGTGTCTTTGTGGTTCCATACAAATTTTAGGATTGTTTGATGTATTTATGTGAAAAATGCCATTGGAATTTTGATAGGAATTGTTTGCATTGAATCTGTAGATTGCTATGGAAATTTTTACATGGAGATTTTCACAATATTAATTATTCCAATCCAGGAACATGGGGTAGCTTTTCATTTGTCTTTAATTTCTTTCATCAATATCTTAAAGTTTTCAGCTTACAGATCTTTCTCCTCCTTGGTTGGATTTATTCCTAGGTATTTAATTCTTTTGGATTCAGTTGTGAATGGGATTGTTTTCTTAATTTCTTTTTCGGGTAGTTTGTTGTTAGTGTATAGGAAGTACAGTTGGTGGTATGTCACAAGTCACGTAGGCTTTCTTCCTTGTCCTGCATTCTTTTTTCTCTTTGTTCCTGTAACTGGCTAATTTCACGTGACCTGTCTTAGAGCTTGCTGATTCTTCCTTCTGCACAATTAGGTCTGCCCGTGCCCTGTGGTTTTCTCCTTTGTGTCACATTCTACCTGTTTACTGTTGACTTGTTTGACTATTGATTGCCTCCCAATAAGAGCAGAGACTGCCTCATTGAGACTGAGTAAGCAGTTCCACAGCAGTGCCCAGCATGCAGGAGATAGCTAAAGGAGAGACAGGACATATCTGTTCAATGTGAATTTAAATGGTGCTCAGGAGAGGCCTTTCTCGATGAAGGAATGAAATGAGATTGTGGTTTCAACGGCCGTTTCTGATTTTGTCTCATTTGCTCCATTGGTTTTGTTTGTTTTGTTTTGTTTTTTGCTGGTGGGGGATGGATTTTGTTAAAGCTCTTTACATAAAACGCACACAAGCTCTCTGTCCTTATTTGTCATCAGTGTTCCCAACTTTGTCTTTGCTTTTTTGATGGTCTTTAACTTTGACTTTTAAAATACAAGTGTCTCTTGTTAGAAAGTTCTTCATGTATTGCTATGCCATGCAAATCTGTATAGTAGTGTGCAAAAAAACTTTTATTTTGATTATTTCCTGTATATTTTATTATATGTTTAGTATCTCGTGTGCTTCTAGGTTACTTGAAAATCCTTTTTGAATTGAGACAAAGCATTAAATAAGCTTATACTTATTTTGTAATAAAAAGCACCTGCTAAACTTCGCTAATAAATCTTACTCCTCAGGTTTTTTTTGGCTGCATTGGGTCTTCGCTGTTGCATGCGAGCTTTCTCTAGTTGCGGTGCATGGGGGCTACTCTTCCTTGCAGTGCACAGGCTTCTCATCGTGGTGCCTTCTCTTGTTGTGGAGCACGGGCCCTAGGTGCTTGGACTTCAGTAGTTGTGGCTCGCAGGCTCAGTAGTTGTGGCTCACGGGCTCTAGAGTTGTGGTGCATGGTCTTAGTTGCTCCGCAGCATGTGGGATCTTCCCGGACCAAGGATCGAACCTATGTCCCCTGCATTGGCAGGTGGATTCCTAACCACTGCGCCACCAGGGAAGCCCTCAGGTTATTTTTTGAAACTGTGTTTTTGTTTGGGGGAGAGTGTTTTTTTGTTTTGTTTTTTGGCCTCTGATTGCCTTGTAAAATATCATTTTTCTTATATTCTCTATACATTATGTAGATAAATTACTATGTATATTGAAAACATTAGAATTGCTATACTGAATCATGTGCTTGGTAAATTTAAGCCATTTTTCCATTGCTTCTCTGTAGGAGGAAATGAATCTCAACCAGAAAGCCAGGAAGACCCCCGGGAAGTACTTAAAAAAACATTGGAATTCTGCTTGTCTAGGTGAGGATGGTAGTGTTTTTCTAGTATCTGGTATCTAAGGTGTTGTGCACTGCTATTATGTACAGATGTCATGCTTTACACAGAAGGAGTATCTGTTAACATCTGTGTTTGTACGTCCATCTGTAGGAAGTCGAGATCCCCCCTACCCCCATCCCCTTCCCACGGACTTGGACTCTGATGGTGGAGCCATAGGTGGTCAGCCTCACAGGTTTTAGTCCTGGGTCGTGCTTTTGGTCACTCACTTTACTGCTTTTCCGTCCTCTGCTGCAGAGGGCTGTTGAGGCCAGAGTTGGAGTCACAGCCCCTCTGACAAGTGTTCCAGCCTGAACTGCAAGCACTCTGGGCACCAGCCTTTCTTGGCCTTACCACGTTTTTCTTACTTTCTCATTCTCTTAGCTGGGTTTCCTTACTTTAAGAAGTTGTGTTTCGGGGCTGCCCTGGTGGCACAGTGGTTGAGAGTCCACCTGCCGATGCAGGCAACACGGGTTCGTGCCCCGGTCCGGGAAGATCCCACATGCCGCGGAGCGGCTGGGCCCGTGAGCCATGGCCGCTGGGCTTGCGCGTCCTGAGCCTGTGCTCCGCAACGGGAGAGGCCACAGCAGTGAGAGGCCCGCGTACCGCAAAATAATAATTAATTAATAAACAAACAAACAAATCAATGTTAAAAAAAAGAAGTTGTGTTTCTGTTTGTTTGTTTTTGTTTGTTTTTGTTTTGCGGTACGCGGGCCTCTCACTCAACCACTGTGCCACCAGGGAAGCCCTGTGTTTCTATTTTTAAAAAGCTACTCAAAACACTTTTTAGAACAAAGATGAGCTATAAATACATTTTTTAAAAGATTTACCTGCTCATTAATTTTGATCATATAAAGTGCAGTACACTTTTACTTTTGCTCTCTCTGCCTCCCCAGATGTCTTTGACAAAATCGACGTAAGGTCAGAGAGATGGCAAATTGCAGGGGGGGTTTGAACTCAGCACTCACCCCAGGGCAGTACCGTACCACACTCGTGCCTCTTGTGAAGGTTCCTTTTAAAGAAGTTGTGAATTAAGACAGATTGTCTTCTTTCTCCAGGGAGAACCTTGCTAGTGACATGTACCTTATATCGCAGATGGACAGTGATCAGTACGTGCCAATCACCACGGTAGCTAACCTGGACCACATCAAGAAGCTCAGCACCGACATGGACCTGATTGTCGAAGTGCTGAGATGTAAGTAGGCTGCAGCCCAGGCTGCATCGTACGTGGTCTTGACAGCATTTTTCTTGCCAGTGTGATGCTTAGATTCACAGCCATTCGTGCTAAGGTACCTGGGCCTGGCGTCACAGATGGGCCATTGTAGGTTTTCTAGAAAGCAGGTGTGCGGTGGTATCTCATTGTAGTTTTAATTTCTGTTTCTTTAGTGCCTGATGACACTGGGCAGTCTTTTCATGTGCTGCCTTTCTGAGCTGTCTGTGCAGATGCCCCACCCCCACCACTTTTTTTTTTAATTAGTTTTATTACAGGTGAGATTTGAGGAGTGTGTATTTGTGTACAATTTGAGATGCACATATCTGTATTTGTCCTTATTGGAGATGTGATTTGCAAATAGGTTCTCCCAGTCTGTGGCTTCTCTTTTTGTTCTAATAATGTCTTTTGAAAAGCAGAGTTTTCAATTATTTTATATAGTCCAATTTATTAACTTTTTTCTTTTATGGATCTTGCTTTTGGTATTGTGCCTAAGAAATCTTTGCTTAATTCAAGGTCACAAGGATTTTCTCCTAGAAGTTTTAGTTTTAGGGTTTACATTTCTAGGTCTGTGATCTGTTGTCAGCTGATTTTTGTATGTGGTATGAGCTCTCTACCCCCTTGCATGTGAATCTGCTGCTCTTCCAGCCCATTTGTTGAAAACTCTACTTCTCCACTGCACTGCCTTTGTGCCATCGTGAGAATCATTTATCCCTGTATGTGTGGGTTTTTCTCTGGGTCGTATGTCTGTCCTCGATCTATTTTGTCTGTTTTGATGCCATTGCTGCAGTGTCTGGATGGTACTGGCTTTTATAGTACATCTTAGAGTAGTTGCAAAATCTCCAGCTTTGTTTTGGCTCTTCCAAATGCTTGGCATTTCCATGTGAATTTTAGAATCGACATTTTGGTTTTTCAGAAGGTCCTATTGGTATTTTTACTGGGATTACATTAAATCTATAAATCAGTTTGGGGAGTATTGACGTTTTAACAGTATTGGGTTTTCCAATTCATGAACATAGGATATCTCTCCATTCATTTAGAAAAATCTTAAAAATTTTTCTCTTGGCAATGTTTTGCAGTTTTCATAGGGCAGGTATTTTATATCTTACCAGATTTTTAACTAAGTATTTCGTATTTGGGCATAAATATTTTTATTTCAATTTCTAGGTGTTCAGTGCTAGTATGTAGAAATAAAATTTATTTTTGAATATTAATCTTGTATACTTAAACCTTTTGAAACTCACAATTCTAGTTTTTTATGGAAATTGTATCAGATTTTCTACATAGAGCTCAGCTTGAATGAAAGTGAATGAAAAGGTTATCTTCTTACACCCAGTCTGGGTGCATGTAATTTCTATTTCTTGCATTATTGCCCTGGCTTAAGCCTCCAGTGCTGTGTTGAATAGAAGTGGGGAGAGTTAGCATCCTTGCCTTGGCCCATCTTCTAGTAAGAAAGATGCTAGATGTTGGTTATTTTGTAGGTGAGGAGGTTTCCCTTCTATTCCTAGTTATCTGAGAATGTTTATCAGAAATGAATGTTGGATTTTGTCAAATGCTTCTGCATCTATGAGATAGTTGTGTGGGTTTTTTTTTTGTTTTTTAGTCCATTAATATGGTGAATTACATTGCTTATTTCTTTTGGTAAACCAACCTTGCATTACTGAGAAAAATCCACTTGTCATTCATTTTGTATTCCCATCTTTATATATTGTTAGATTCAATTTGGCAAAATTTGGTAAGAATTTTTATTGTTCATGGGAGATATTGGTACATAGTTTTCTTGTTTTGTAATGGCTTTGTTTAGTTTGGGTATCAGAGAACTGCTGGCTTCATAGGTTGAATTGGAAAGTACTTTCTTAAGTTCAGAAGAGTTTGTACTACAGAATTGTTATTTTTTTTCTTGACATTTGGTAGGATTCTCCAGAAACCACATGGGCCTTGAGTTTTCTTTTCTTTCATGGATCCTACTTCCCAAAAGTTAGCTTTGGTACTAAGGGATGTTTCCATTTCTGTTGTTGGTAATATATGTCTTCGTGGTGGTACACAGCTCTGAGCCCTGATTTTGATCCTGGTGTGCTATGACCTGAGTCTGCATGTGATAGAATTTCATAGAGTGACACCAAAAAACAAAACCTAACAAAAGGAGATAAGGCAAAAAAGCTGGTGAAACCTGAATTGGGCCTGTCCCTGTGCTGGCAGCATTGACCCTTGTTTCGATGGTGGATTGTGGTCGTGGAAGATCCATCGTTAGGGAAGGCTGAGTGAAGGGTGCTTGACAACTTCTGTGAGTTCAAAATTAAGTCGTAAGGAGACAGGAAAGTGTCTTGTTTTGGGGACTTGTAGAAAGAGAAAGTCTCTAGCCCTGCATTGTGACCGACTTGGAGTTGTTTGAGCTATGGAGAACCTGTGTCATAGCGTTACCTCTGTTACAGCTCCCACAGGGCTCCCCAGAGCCCTTAATTGTAATGTGCAAGATTGGTCTAAAACCTTTTGATAGCTTGTGTTAAGCTATCAAGACTTTTGATAGTTTTCCCATTGTATACGGCTTTCTTTAACGCGCCTGGTGATGTAGTCTAACACGTCCCGCTAGAGTATCTACGTTAGGTCACGATGTAGTGCAAATGGTTGATTTGTTTTAATATTTGTGTATCATCCATTTCTCTTCTCTTTACAGCTTTACCTTTAGTCCAAGTGGATGAGAAGGGAGAAAAAGTAAGGCCAAATCAGAATCGTTGCATAGTAATATTACGTGAAATACCTGAATCCACCCCTGTAGAAGTAAGTCATTTGTCCTCTGAAGGAAACTTGGACTTTTTTGGGTGGGTTTTTTTTTTGTTTCTTTGGTTTTTGGAAGATGTATTTTAAAGCAGAAATACGTACAGTAACACTTTTTTCCCAAGATTTACACACTCTGATAGTTACAGTGTGATTCATTTGTAAGAGTGGTTCTCAAACTTTTTGGTCTCAGGACTCCATTACACATTTCACGCTGAAAAAAGTAGTGAGAGTTTATGGTAACTTAAGTAATTAGAAGTTAGAGAAAAGGTTTAAATATTTATTCATTTTAAAATAAGAATAGTAAACCAACAAGTTGAGACAGAGTATATATTTTTATGTTAAATCACTTTCCAAAACAAATTTTCACGATGAGAAGGATGCAGTGAACACCAATGTGGCCTGTGCTTGATTTGAGCCGACGTGCCAGTATCAGTGCATTTCTGGGTTTAATTTGACTGGTTGATTTTTTCATTATAAGTCATATTTTTCTATTTCTTTGTGCGCCTAGCAAATTTTGAATGGATGCCAGGCATTTTGGATTTTATTTTATTGGGTACAGAGTGTTTTTGTACTCCTTTCTGTACATGTTCTTGAGCTCTGTTTCGAGGCTCAGTTAAGTGACTTGGAACTGGTGGAAGCAGACTGGCCTCCCCCTGGGGCAGTGCTTCCTGAGAGCTCCACCTGATGTCCTGAGTTAGGATTGTTTTCCACTCAGGCTGATGGAGACACTCCCCGATCCCGGAGAGCTCTAGGGGAAACCTCTCATCACTTCAGGTTGCTGTTTCTGCAGCTTTGGGCTGGGCCTGTGCCCACCCTCCTGGCACCACGGCCTGGAAGCCCCATATGTGAGTCAGGCACTCGTGGACCTGTCTGTACCTGTCCCTCTCAGGGATTGCTGTCCTGCATGGCCCAAGGTCCACTGTCTGAAAAATGCTATTTCATATATTTTGTCTTTTGTTTGTAATTATTTCATGTGGGAGGGTAAATGTAGTCCATCTTGGCTGGAAGCAAAAGGCCAGCTAATTTTTAGATTTCTTAAATTACCTTTCTCTGCCTCCAAATTGTGTAATTATTGGCTACTGGTAAAATAAAATATTTTCCTATTAATTTAGTTTCTGGTCTCTTAGGGGTCAGGAAAGCTGTCAGTGGGTTGTGAATTTTATTTCCTGTGACAGTGGGATCCTAATTCTGGAAGCCACACTGAATTCCTCAGCCACCTTGAGAGAGGGCCCTGGACTTTGGTGTGCTGGGGTTGTCTTCTAGGAATCTGTCCTTAAGAGTGGGCACCGTGTTTCTTTGGTGAGGACAAACAGTGGCATAGTTGAGAATTAATTTCTAACCTCTCTGTTTCTTGTAGGAAGTAGAAGCACTATTTAAAGGAGATAACTTACCGAGATTTATAAACTGTGAATTTGCCTATAATGATAATTGGTTTATTACATTTGAAACAGAAGCAGATGCACAACAGGTAAGCTCTTCCTCCCCTTACCCCCCACCCTGTTCTGCCACAAAGGACAGAGTTTACCAGTACTTAGCAGTCAGTACATTGTGGGACTAAACGTGGGCACGGAGATTACGATCACGTGTGGTGTTGAGTGTGAACATAAGGTGCAGGGAAATCAGGTTGAAGAAACCTAAATAGGTGTATGTGTAGACAGTTTTGTAGCGATGTGAAAAGCATAGATGTTATTTTCTAAGGACATGTGAGACAGGCAGCCTAGGAAAACTGGTTCTTTTCTTATCTCTGTACAGATAAAGGTTTTAATATTTGGAAAAGTGTTTGGGAAGTTTGAACCTAACTCTAACTTTCCCTGGGCAACCTTGTATTACAAGGTGCTTGAAAAGGCATTGAGAAGCTCTGTGAGAGGCATGGAGTTCAGACGGCTCCCTGCCCTTGAAGGAAGCATTATATTCAGGGGAAACTCCAGCCTGCGTAAAGGAATGGCAGTAGAGTGTGAGGCGTTAACACGGTTGAGGCTGCTGTGGGTTCAGAAGAGAGAAACAAGAATCTGAAAGATGGGTCTTAACTGGATGGAAGGGAAAGAAGGACTAGGAGGAGCAAGGTGATGGGAGGTGAGAAAAGGCAGGTCTGTGGGGCAGGTGCAAGCCCTGCTTACCTGCATGGGGAATATGGCCTGAGGCTGAGTCACATGGGTCAGAGCCTTTGGAGTTATGTAGGAGAATTTGGAGCAGAATCAGGAGCTTCACAAATAATGACTTTAGAATATTGCGATCCTAATCCTTTCATTTCCTAAACTGTAATTCCAAGTTCATATTGGGGTTATTACTAGGACCTTGGTATCCATTGTTTTCCCAGGTAAGGATTCTTAGCCTATGATATGTGAGATGCTTTTATGGTTTCTGTTAACACTTACAAAATTGTATACAAATACTGTTCATAAGAATTTTTTTCCTTTTTTTTCTTTTTTATTGACATATAGTCAATTTACAATATTACATTAATGAGAATTTTGGATAGGGGCTCTGTAGCTCTTATCAGGATCTTTTAAGGAATCTGTGACCCAAAAAGGTTAAGAATCACTGTGCTAGGTTCTTTCCACCATATTTTAACTATATAATTACTTATTTGAGGTGCTGAATTAATTATAGGTTCACCTTATTTATAAAATTAACACAATGGTGTTATGAATGATTTTGTCTTCAGGCTTACAGATATTTGCGAGAAGAAGTCAAAACTTTTCAAGGAAAACCAATTAAGGTAAGCAAGACCATTGGTTATACTTTATCTGCAAACCAGTGTCCTTAAGTGTTCTAAGAGAAACTTATATGTTTTCAAACAGGCACGGATAAAAGCGAAGGCAATAGCTATAAACACATTTTTGCCAAAGAATGGCTTTAGACCTCTGGACATGAGCCTCTACACACAGCAGCGCTACACCGCATCGTTTTACTTACCTCCAGTCTACAGCCCCCAGCAGCAATTTCCTCTCTACAGCCTGATCGCCCCCCAGACATGGTCAGCGACACATAGCTATCTTGATCCGCCCTTGGTGAGTCCTGGCTTCACTGGAGCTTCTATGGCAGACAACCCTGTGGCAGACACTGGGTGCTTTGGAGAATAAGATCTTCCTCTAACAGGGGAAACCAGTACTGATGCCGTTTGCCATAGTAAAACAGGCCTTCAAGTTCTCTGGTGGATTTTCAGTTTAATTGGGAAATAAATATGGAACTGTGTAAATTTTAAAAAACCTTTCCGATAATGAGATCCCGATCCTTTGCCTGGTTTGCCTCCCCTCCTGTCTAGCATTTCCTTTCCTAAGCTGTGTAATCCCTAGAAAAACACAAAATGTGATTACGAGTTGTAAGCTAGCCGGGGTCCTTCTGAGCACAGAGGGGAATCCAACGGGACATGGTTTGAAGGAGAAAAGGGTGTTTAATAGGCTTCTAACAATCCAGGACAAGTGGAAGACATATAGACAGGCCTCATTTTATTGCGCTTTGCAGGTACTCCGTTTTTTTGGTTTTCTTTTTTTTTACAAATTGCAGGTTGTGGCAACCCTGCATTGAGCAAGTCTTTTGGTGCCATTTTTCCAACAGTGTTTGCTCACTTTGTGCCTCTGTGTCACATTTGGTAATTCTCACAGTATTTCAAACTTTTTCATTATATTTGTCATGGTAATCTGTCATCAGTGATCTTAGACTCACTGAAGGGTCAGAGGATGATTAGCAGTTTTTAACAATAAAGTATTTTTTCATTAAGGTGTGTACCTTTTTTTTAAGGTATAATACTTTTGTACACTTAGACAATAGGTTAGTGTAAACATAATTTTCATGCTCACTGGGAAACCAAAAAATTTGTGTGACTTGCTTTATTGCGACATTTGCTTTATTGCTGGAACTGAACCCATGGTATCTCTGAGGTCTGCCTGTACTGTCTTATAAGCTTTATTTCTCACACCAGCCCTACAGCTGGCTGGAGTGATTAATTTTTACAGATTTTGGCCTGTTTAAAGCCTGTGGTTAGACTCGATAGATGTGTAATGGATCCATCACTTTTCTCCAGCTGTGCTGCTGTAGATGTTAGTGTGATTGGCGGGCCATGTCTGGCAATTGCAGGAGTCTGTTGGAGCGGGATGTGAGAATCAGGGCTGCTCTGCGGAGGGCGGGCCATGGGGAAAGTTGTGGTCAAAGAGCAGGAACTGAGTAACCCTGAAGGTATGGCTGTGGCCAAGTCCGGGGATAGTCGGGACCACTGATGGTGAGAGGGCAGGCGTGGGGGAGGGAGCATTGGTGCACCTGGGTACCTGGTGCCTGTTTTGCACAGAATGTCAAGATGTGTGTCAGGAAAGACAATTGTGTGAATCTCTGAGTATTTCTGAGCTAAAGCAGAGGCTGAAGCAGGGACTGGGAGGGGAAGTTGGTAAGGTCTGTCAGGGCCAGACTGTCCAGGCCTTGAGTGTGTCCTGAGGCATGAGGGCCAGGAGGATGGATGGGGAGGAGGGACAGCCCTCAGGAGCCCAGGGCCAGCGTGGGACGAGAGCAGTGAGCACACAAGGTAGCGCTCCGTCTCTGTTGAGTGAATCCTTATGGTAAGAAAACACTGCTGTTTTTAAGTCCTCACTGCGTTCCGTGGAAGTGTACCGAGAGCCATGTAGTTAATGTATCGTGAGCAAGGTAATCTTCAAGGGGAATAGCATCCGTCAATTCTTGGTTGAATGATTCCTCCAAAGGAGTCTCACTGCTGTGCTTGTTTTTCTAATCTCTCTTAATCGTATTTGTCCCTGTCCCAAGTGGGGGCCCTCGCTTCCTGGGTGGTAGTCTGGCCATGCAGGTGGTTCCTTTGATCTGGCTGGGCCGTGTGAGGCCCGTTGTAAAATAGACTGCGTCATTTTGAGCAGAAGTGACAAGATGAGGCCTGTTAATTCTCAGCAAGTTGTGTTAAATTACTGCGTTAGCAACCAATTTATTTTTAAACTCTTGAGCAAAATTACTTAAATACCAGCGTTTTATATGTAAAATTACAGGTATGAAATGATTCGTCTCAATTGTTCTTATCATGATTTACAATCAACTCTGGTTCTGGTGTGATAGATGTATTTCTGAATATATGGTAGTTCCTCAGAAGAGCTTTGGAGATCTTAACACAGTTTTTTGGAGGTTTTTTCTTGTTGCCTTTTAATTTATTTTTGGCTGCGTTGGGTCTTCGTTGCTGTGCGCGGGCTTTCCCTAGTTGTGGCGAGCAGGGGCTACTCTTCATTGCTGTGTGCAGGCTTCTCATTGTGGTGGCTTCTCTTGTTACTGAGCACAGGCTCTAGGTGCATGGGCTTCAGTAGTTGCGGCTCACGGGCTTAGTTGCTCCACGGCATGTGGGATCTTCCCGGACCAGGGATCAAACCCGTGTCCCCTGCATTGGCAGGCAGATTCTTAAGCACTGCACCACCAGGGAAGTCCCTAACACGTTTTTTTTTAATAAATTTATTTATTTACTTATTTATTTATTAATTTTTGGCTGCATTGGGTCTTCGTTGCTGTGCTCAGGCTTTCTCTAGTTGCAGCGAGCGGGAGCTACTCTTCGTTGCAGTGCTCAGGCTTCTCATTGTGGTGGCTTCTCTTGTTGCGGAGCACAGGCTCTAGGCGTGCAGGCTTCAGTAACTGCAGCACGTGGGCTCAGTGGTTGTGGCTCGTGGGCTCTGGAGCACAGACTCAGTAGTTGTGGTGCATGGGCTTAGTTGCTCCGTGGCATGTGAGATCTTCCTGGACCAGGGCTGAAACCTTTGTCCCCTGCATTGGCAGGTGGATTCTTAACCACTGCACCAGCAGGGAAGTCCCATAACACAGTTTTAACTGCATCTTTCTCCCTCAGCATTTCCCTTTTATTGCTTTCATTTTCTTTTTCAAAATTTGGAATGATTTGTTTTGGTCCTAAGCTGTTTTTAATCATCCTGTTTCAGCTTTTGGTTAGCTCTAGTTAAGAGGAATTGCCGGCTTTTTGTCTCTTCCTTTTCCTTTTCCCCAAACAAGGAGTGGCCTACTTGTATCTCTCAATTTAGTGAAAATGTAAAGTCGGAACTGGATGGCACCAAGGAGTTAAATGCCTTTGAATCCATCAGGGAATGTTGTTTATACAGAAATTGTGTGAAACCACATGTTCAGAATCCAGAAAACAGGAGTGATCACTCTTTTCATGATTTTTAAAAACTATTTCAACACTAAGTTCTAATTTTTGTTGTGACTAGATTTTTTAGTAGTTGGCTGATATTTAAAATTCTGTATTTAATTTTTTTAATGTTTTAAGATTATATTTAGGATTGTATCTTTTAAGGGCACTGTGACCCTGTTTAATTTTCTTCTGACATATACATCAATATATGTTTATGAAGTATATCATAAATTGTATACCATAAATTGTGACTTGGGACATAATTGTTAATGATCTGAAAATATCGTGATACTCAGCAAGACTTGCATGCAGGTGAGGCTAAAAGGTCACTCTCAAAGGCTGTGATTGTGAAATAGATCCCTAAATGCTCCCAAGATTGAGAGCTTTGATGGATTTTATTAAAGTCATCAGGAATGAAGAGTTGTTGACTTGATGTCGGCACACCGGGGGTGTCAGTCTGGGCACTGGGACGAGAGTGGGATCGCATGCTCAGCCTGCGCTCAGCACCGGGCGAGGCGGGGTAGGGGCAGACACTTCCCTCCACATGTGTGAGGCTGCTTCCTCGTGGGGCTGTTGTGAGGTCTCGGCCCCAGCCTGGATCAAGAAGTCTTGGCCATTAGCAGTAGTCCTACCCAGTGCTCTTCTCCACGGCGAGCACTCCAAGTATGACATGGAACGTCAGTGACCAGTGTTAACCAGCCTGAAGTCTGTTTGTTTTTAATGAACCTAGGTAACGCCATTTCCAAATACTGGATTTATAAATGGGTTCACGTCTCCAACCTTCAAACCTGCAGCATCTCCTCTGACTTCACTCAGACAATACCCTCCAAGGAGCAGGCAAGTCCCGTGAGGGGTTGAAAGGCTGCTGTTTCCCCAGGGTTTGTAACAAGAGGTCGCTGCCACATTGTATACTTTCAAAGCAAAGCAAAAGCAAATGTGTTAAACCTCCGTCATTCTCACCATTTGGGTGAGTCACACTAAGTGAAGAGGCTGTTCTGTGCTGGCTAATGGTAGATTTGACCACCAGTAATGTCCACCAGGAGTAAAAGGACTCAAAGAGTGGAATTTCATTCTGTGAGCATTAAACCCTGAAATGCGTGTTGCAACGCCTACGTAGAGGGTAGACTCGTGAGACAAAGACTTCTGGGACAGCTTGCATCTGCATGCGCCTGCTTTTAATTTAGACCTGGGCTACAGCCCAGCAGAACGTCCATACTGCATTTAGATTTGCATTATCAGACATATTATGAACTAACTATTCTAAGTAGCATTTTTAATATTTTTCCTAAAAAGAAAGCACATTTTAGCTTAGCCATTTCTGCATTAGCACGCTCTTTTCATAATGCCATGATCATTTTAGAACTGAGCGTATACAAACATTTTATTTACAGGAATCCTAGTAAATCTCATCTGCGCCATGCCATTCCCAGTGCAGAGAGAGGGCCCGGGCTGTTAGAAAGTCCTTCGATATTTAACTTCACTGCGGACCGGTTGATGAACGGTGTGCGGAGCCCACAAACGAGGCAGACGGGTCAGCCTCGAGCTCGGCTACAGAACCCTCCAGTCTACGCCAAGAGGGACGCGGGGCCCGGGCGGGTGGAACAGAGCAGCCTCGAGTCCTCTCCGGGCTTAGGTAGAGGAAGGTGAGTGTTCACAATTTCATTTGGACAGGTACTGTGTACTTAGAAACTATTCGTAGTGTCAGATTCCATTAATTCACATGTGTTTTATAATCATTATTTTCAAGTCCATCACAGAAAATCAAATGGAAGGCTGTAACCATCCAGGGTTTTATATAATTACTCAGGGGTGTTACTTTTAGAGCAGACTTGACCGGTTCCATCTTTATGGTAACAGGACACTGTTCAGTGGGAACTGAGGGTGGGCCAGGCTGCCTTGGGTCACAGTCGTTGTGTGTGGAGAGCTGAACGGACAGCCCCCCCACCGCCGGCCCCCGGCCCCACCCCACCCCACCCCCGCAGCATGTCAGGAAGGACGTGCGCTCCAGCACACAACTAGCATATCTAGCGTGGGCTCAGCCTCCATAAGCTTTTCCTGTTGTAAACCCACTTTGAAACCCGTAAGTGAAGACTACTTTTCTGAGTATTATGTATGGAGGACATGGTCTGCCTCCAGGAGCTCCTTCTGGCAGCAGGTGTCTGCTCCCAGTGCAGTGGGAGCGGGAGGGACCCCAGGCAGCTCCTTCTTCGCAGTCAGGCCTTGCTGGGCCCATGAGGGGTGGAATTGGTCAAGATTATTTCTAAATTCCTTTTCAACTTACATAATACGGGCCCTTAGGGAGTCCTTGCGTTCAGCTGAAATGACAAAGGGTAAGTAAATAAAAATGAAATTATAAATGGGAATTAATGTGTGAACTGTTAGGCCACGGAAGCCCGTCGGGGCAGTGAAGTGTCTTGGTGCCTTTGGGCCTGCCATGACATCCACTCAGTAGGTGGGGTTGTTGCTGCGGTTTAAGCTGCTGTGCAGGGAACGGCGCCAATGCTGGTGGGTCAGACTCTGGACGTTGGAAATGTGCCTCAGGAACTGTGGAGTGGAAGGCTGGCAGATGGGGAGAGGAAGTGCTTGGGGCTCAGAAACCCCGTGTGGTTCACTGGAGTGAGGGCCAGGGGTGCCGGAGTGGACTAGACTACTTGGGAGCTTTTCCTTTTGATGATAAATTGGATAGATTGTCATTAACATTTTTTAACAATTCACCTTTATAGCTCAGTGTCACACTTTACATATCTTGCCACTCCAACTGAATGGATATTCAAATGTTCATATCATAACAAAAATTCTAAATGGGAAAATTCCTTCAATAAATATTTTCTTTTATTTACCTATCTAGACCTCAATTTTACTTCTTTACTATAAATTTTTTTTTGTTTTGCTTACACTTCTTAAGGTTGGGATTTTAAAATCAAAAGTCATCTATAAAAGATTACAAAGTCATGAAGACTGAATGTGTCTGCACATACTTTGCTCAGTGAAATTATGTTTCAAATAGGAAAAGTTAACAGTCTTCTGCTTTCCTCTTCTCTAGGAAAAACTCCTTTGGTTACCGGAAGAAACGGGAGGAGAAGTTCACAGTGAGTACATCAGGCCTGTGCCACTTTCACAAGACGTTTAAACCTAGCTTACACTAAACAAACCTGAGATTTAATTAAGATGTGAGAAGGAGCTTTTCAAAAGAGATTTTCTCGTAATGTGGTGTCCGCTAGGTGATAATAGACCTTTTTTTGATGCTCTAAAGAGGAGGTGGTGGTGGTGGCTGGTTCCCTGAGGAACTGCTGGCACCTGCGTGTCCTGTGCGGCACATAGGTGCACCCAGGAGTGCATCATGCACATATGTGGTCTGTTTACACTTGTCCATATGAGTGCTTTCTGTGTGGGTGACCAGGTAGTGTACTTTGAAATCACCGGAATCATGAGTTTGGACAAGCAGAATAAACTTCTCTCACATAGGAATTAGCTCATCAGTATTTTTCATTCAAAATATTTTACTCTGTATCCACTGTGTAGAAAGCATTGTTGATTTTTGCTGCATGTAACTTACGGTCAGGACAAACCCAAAATAAGTGATGGGTTTATGTGAGTGGTAAGTACAAGAGACATGGTTGTGTCTGCTTAGGGTGATTGACCAGATAGCTCCCCCTCTGGGTGGTGCTCTGCAGGGCTCTGATGAGGGGAGAGCGCAGGCGGTGTGCATATAGATGTGGGCTCTCGTAGAGCTCCACATTCAGGGCCTGAAAAAGGCCTTGAGACAGTTCTTGGTCTGGACCCCAAGCCATTGAGTGTGTACATTCTCATTACTGTATTTGCCTAGAACTTAGAAAGTGCAAATTGGTAGTAAATGAACACCCGAATTTTACCATGTTGGTCAGTTCAGTCTAGTTTTTGGTGACCCTATGGTAAGGCAGTTTATATCAGTTGCTTCGAGTTGGAATGCATGAATTCCTGTTACATTTGGACTAACAAGACAGGCATCTTGACTATCTCTTCAGGTACTAGTTACCCTGCAGGAATCATTGCCCCTGGTCACTGCATTACCTGCAAAGGTGAAATGTTTTCCTATTGCCATTTCCATTTCATTCTGTTTTGTGTTCCTGATCTGCGTGTTCATACCTGGAACCACTCAGCTGCCCACGCACGTGGGGCAGGTGTGTGTACTCGACAGTGAGCCCATTGCTGCACTGGGTGTTCTGAACACCTGAGAAGCTTGGGGGCAGGTCGCAGGTGTGTGAGCAGGTGGCCTGGCCACGCCCTCGGGACCAGGGGTTGGCATTCATGCCTTGCCTTAAGCCATTCAGACCCTAAAAACGTTAAACATTGCCTCTTTCCTTCCTGAAAGTTGATACTTAGTCAATTTTTTGTCAGGTCTTTCTTCCTAGAAACGCTCATCTTCTGAAAAGCTGGGTTCACCTCAGAAACATGCAGATGTTTAAAATAAAGCCTCTAAAAATTGCTTTGAGATGAGCATAACGTAGAGCATGCTGAACTACAGGGCACACTGTAGCCACACGGTTACCTGTGCAGCCTGGTTCAGAGGGCACACACGTGAGCAAGGTAGGCAGCCCTCAGACACCTACGCCAAGGAGAAGACATGCAGCAGGAGGCCCAAAGGAGAGGTGGGCTGTGCTCAGCGTGGATCCGATTTCATCTTTAACCTGCTCTCACTTGAGCTGTAACAGATCTTCTGTAGATTTTACTTCTGTAGAGATAATCTTCCAGTTGGTATAAGTTTCTGGGAAATCTTGGCCTTTCAAGTTAAGTGAGCCCCACGAGAGCATTGCTTCCAGTCCAAGTAGCCCACCATTCAACTAAAAATGCCTGTGTTCTACCTAATACAAACTCATTTCCCCTTTCTGTTCCTTGTCTGTTTCAGCCAAGGAACTGGATGTTACAGAATGACTCCTAGCAGGTTGACTAAGAGTGTTTCAATAAAAGTATATCACTGCCTTTCTCCTGAGACTCCTGCCTTTCTCTTTGGCTTATAAGTTTTACTTGGGTATTATTTTGCTGAGTTTACTTACTTTCTTGAAGTCAGGGAATGTGTTAACAGTCTCATATTAAATACCATGCTTTTACATACTGATCTAAAAATATAAGGTGTTTTAGTAAGTTAATTTTCAGGTAACTGAAGCCCCCTCCCTTTTAAAAATATAAGGTGTTTCAGTAAGTTAATTTTCAGATAACTGAAGCCCCCTCCCTTTTTTGTTAAACTTTTTTTAATGGAAATTTTTGTGAACTTTTTTACGTAAGTTGTACAGAGTTGAGAGAGTGGCTTTTGTTTTCTTTTACTTTCTCCTTTATGACTTAGATCACAGACTCTGCTGCGATAACACAAAACTTGTCTGGAGGTGAATAAGTTTAATGTCGAGACTTAGGCTCTTATGCATCTGTCACTTTGCTGTGCCCCACTGGTCTCTGTCGGCTGCCGGGGGTCTGTATGTCGTACACACGCAGCTCTTACCGGCGTGTTTGACCGTGGCTGGGAGCAGCCCTGAGGTTTCGTCTTTTCAGCTCTGCTCTCATGGTCGAAGTTGCCTGACAGGTGACCTTTGATAGTTGACCAGGTTGGCGGGGTTGGATTGGCCATCCGTTTCTCCAGACAGGTGTGGACCTTCGAAGACTAGGGAGCGAGTGTTTGCATCACTCACCTGCGGTATTTCTGAGCCCCTCCTACCCAGCCACCCCAGGGCGACTCCACGGTGTTCTTCTCTTTCAGAGGAGTCAGACTCAGTCTCCAACACCGCCCAGGCCGCCCTCCCCGAGCTTTGAATTAGGCCTCTCCAGCTTCCCCCCACTGCCTGGGGCGGCGGGGCATTTGAAGACAGAGGACTTGTTTGAGAACAGGCTGTCTGGCTTGCTCACAGGATCGTCCAAAGAAAGGGTAAGCTATCCCAGGCCTGATGCTCACTCACCACTGGCGTCCCGCTCTTTACATGTGTGCCTTTTTCACATGCGGAAGAGGTTTATGAGGATAAGTGATTGCAGAGGCCACATAGGTTTTGAGTGGTAGGGTCAGAGGTGGAGCCCTGCACTGGTGTACTGTACAGACACTCACCCAGAAACTCAGGTTGCATTTTTATTCTCGCTATTCATGACCTGCTTTTATTTTACAAGTCAGCAGAAAAAAAAAGAAAAATCTGAATTATACCAGAAGTAACACGTTTTTAATAATCTACATGAATAAACAGAAGCCCAGAGCAACTTTACTATAATACGGGTGGCTGTCGGCGAGCTCTATGGTATTCATGCCTCTGCAGTGATTACATCCCGGGAATCAGCAAGTGCTGCAAGAGCCCAGGTGCTCCCCGTGGCCCTGCTACCGTCGACAAGCAGACCGGGGCAGAGGTGGCCAGAATGCCTCATCCAGCGCCTGCTGAGTTCTCAGCCTGGCGCTCCACCACGGCCACCCACCGTGTCTTTCTCCGGTGGGAACCCACCCACCAGCACCCTGCCTACTGCCCGAAGACCTAAGGAGTCAGAACCCCTGGCCTCTGGGTTGGGGAAGGCACTGCCCTGCAGACCGTGTCCAGACCATCTACACCTGCAGAGCCCCCACAGGGGTGGGGTCGCCCCTCAGTACCAGGCGGGGTCATGGTGGGATTTATGAAGCCAGGTCTTTAGTTGTCTTCATACTAGTGTGTGGTTACTGCTCCCATTTTTAGCCTTCAAGTTGAGAGGATTCCAAGACCCTGTATTTTGGAGAGAGAAGCACTTATTAAATGTGACTTGTCTTTTGCGTTATTGTAAGTGTTAAATTCTGAGTTATCAGTGCCCCATGGAATGATGTTAGAGAATCCTTGCAACTCAGAGACCCTGAGTCTGGGCTTCACCCTGACCTTACTCCCCTTGGGGATGGGCAGGGGAAGAGAACAAGCAGGCCTCCACCCCATTTCAAAAACAGTATTTTGTGGTGGTTGTTTTTTTTTAATTTTTACTGTTTTTACATTGTGAGTTTGTGTAAAATTTATTTTGAAGAGAGAATTGCTACTTTTTTTTTTTTTTTTTTTTTGCGGTCCGCGGGCCTCTCACCGTTGTGGCCTCTCCTGTTGCGGAGCACAGGCTCCGGACGTGCAGGCTCAGCGGCCATGGCTCATGTGGGCCCAGCCACTCCGTGGCACGTGGGAGCTTCCCAGACTGGGGCACGAACCCGTGTCCCCTGCATTGGCAGGCGGACTCTCAACCACTGCGCCACCAGGGAAGCCCGAGAATTGCTACTTTTAAGAAGCCTGAGCCCAATTCCAGGTGAAAGAGACTGTGTCCCTGCTTCTTGGTGAAGTGCTCGGCGGCTCTGCGGGGCCCTGAGAGGCCTCCGACGGGAGGGGTCGGTCTCGGGCGTGCTCTGGACATGAGGGAGCTTTTACAAGAAGGAGGCGTTTTCTATGCCTGTGTTTCCACCAGCCTTGAGCACAAAATCGTGAGAGGTGATGGTTCTCAGGGGCCCCATGTCTCCATCACCACCACCACCACCCCCGCCCCATGGTGGGGGGCAGTGCTATTCCCTCCATCTCACTCCCTCCAGAACCTCTCACTTCTGAACTTTTTATGTTTTGAAAAGTGAGATTTTGAGAAAACGCTTGTTTGCAGTTAGTCTCCCTTCCAGTTCTTTATTTGCTCTGCTGCCTTTTTTTTGTTAATTAACAGAAGGCTACATGTGTGAGTGGTTACTGCTCATGGGGCTGGCATTCTCCAGGTGTTTGCCTTAAACAGACTAAGCCTCAGTTTCGTTCCCTGTTAAATCAGGAGAGTTAACACACTGCTTTCAGGGGCTGTTGGTGAATTCAGGTGGGATCTGATGTCAGCACCTGCACCCCTCAAGACACTCAGGTTTATTGGGATGGAGCTGTAACCTTGTTGGTTTTCGCTATAAAAACGGGTGAGCCATACTGGATTGTGCTGGGAACTCTACATTCACAGATCACGTGCCAGGCAGTGCTGGGCACTGGTGTGTCAGATGGGTGGAGGTTTCACTACCTGTTCAGGTGGGAAAGCCGGCTTGCAGGCAATCGTGCTCATACACAGAGGGAGGCCTCAGATTGGTGAGACGTCTGCCAAGAGGAAGGGGAGACCGGGAGGTGCTTCCCGGCCACAGTGTGTCCAGTTGTACTCCGGGCTGGCCCACGCGTGCTCCCGGGAGGACGGCGAAGCCGGTACCATCGTTGTGTGTTTAAGATCATTGAGAAAGATCTGACGGACGTGCCTCTATGCGGTGATAAACTGTTTTTGATGGTTTCAGAGCCTGAACGCAGACGCAAGCACGAACACTCTCCCCACGGTGCCCCCCCGAGAGCCCTCAGTGCCCTGTGCCGTGTCCACAGCCTGCGAGCGTGCCCCCTCCCCTGCCCACCCGCCCGAGTAAGTCCACCTGCACCTGATGCCCGCGCCCCGTGCTGTGCTCACTGCGGGGCTGCCCGTGGGGCCCGATGTTCACGTGTCTGCCTGGTGGCGTCTTTCCAGGGATCCCAAGGTGGTGGAGAAGCAGAAGGAAGCCCCGAGTGTGGACAGACCTCCTCCCACCCTGAGCACGACTGCGAGTAAATCGGTGCAGGTGGACGGCGCCGTCTCGGTATGTCAGGGGCAAGGATGTGGAGGGGCTCCCTGGAGCGGTGGCCGCCTGTGTGCACACTGCGCTTTCTGTGCAGGGTACCCTGGGCATTTGCTAATGATTGTAACTAACCGATCTGGCTGTTCGTCGTCCCTGCAGCCGTGGGTCATCTTGTTCAGGGTCAGTAGAGTGAGGCTGTCTCCCGAGGAGCCACAGCTTCCAGTTCCTGTCCGCCTAGGACTTAAGGTGGTTCAAGTGCAGATCAGAGGGACGCCCACCTCCCACCCCACCCGCACCCCGCCCGGGTCCACGCAGGCCTACCACCAGCTCTTCTTCCTCTCTCCTCCCCTGGGCACTCGAGCAGTCCAGCTTTTTAAATTCTGATTTGCTTTGTCACCAGTTTGATCTTGGGTGGGCCTTTATCGTTTAGATTTGGGAGTTAAACCCTTAATGTCTGCTAGGTTGAATCTTTAAAGAAAACTTTTTTATAGGTTAAAATTATTTTTAAGTTACAAATGGTTGATGGAGGTGACAGACTTCTAAATGTCCTCATCTGTCATTTAGCCTTCATGCTTCCACTTACCTGAAAACCCTACTTTTTTGTTGTTGTTACTTCTGACTTGCCTGCAACCACACCTCCAGCCCTCTGTAGTTTGCAGTGTGTACAAATGCTTTGCAGAGACAGCTGTTGAAGGTCACCCATAAGTGACAGCCGGACCTCTTCCTGGGTCCAGGAGGCCTGCTCTGTGCCGAGGCAGATTGTCTGACAGGGAGAGCAGATGCTTCTTCTGTGTTTTTCTAGGGTGTCTGGTGTCTGCCGCCTTTCAGGCTCGTATGTGGCTCAGAAGTGATTACAGGCCAGAGGCTGGAAAGAGTTCAGTTGGCACTTTTCATCTCCATGCTTTTTCTAGTTTTAACCATTTTTACAAGATATTTCTAGAGTATCTTGGAGGGAAAGTTGTGCTGCAGGGGAACCTCAGTTGTTGAAATGTAGGAATTCTTTATTTAAAATAATTTTGAATGTGGTTACAGTTGAAGCCTTTTTTTACGTCTACCTCAAGTGAAACTTATTTTCACATGTTGTCATATAATCCCAGAGCTGTGTCTGTTTCCCAGGAATTGCGAAAACCCAGCTACGCAGAGATTTGTCAGAGGACGAATAGAGAGCCACCATCTTCCCCGTTGCAGCCCCAGAAAGAACAAAAGCCAAACACTGTTGGTTGTGGGAAGGAAGAAAAGAAGCTCGCCGAGAGAGAGCCCTCTGCCCCCAAGTCCAGCCCAGGACCACCCAAAGACCAGAGGAGACCGCCAGGCCGCCGGCCCTCTCCCCCAGCCTCGGGGCGGCGTCTGCACAGAGAACAGAGCCCCCCACCCAGGTCCCCTCAGTGAGCGCCGAGGTCTGGGAGGGCTTCGAGGAGCTGAGGTCGCCACAACTAAGCACTGTCCTGCTCGGGATGTGAGTGAGCCGCTGGTTAGGAGCTTGCAGTGTAGATGAGGCCCACAAGGTGCCTGCAAGTTATTTTTCTTCTATGAGTCGGATTTCCCCCCTCTTGAAAAAAATCTATTTTTCAGGATTTAATTAATATAAACCTTATTTTAGGTTGGTGCTTAACTGGAGGTGATGCATAAGTCTGATTTTTTTCAGGATAGAAAATGCATTTATCCTAACAAATTGATATTTTTTATTAAGCCTCCATGTGGCTATGAATGCAAGCTATATATATATATAGTGAGTTTTTCTAAATTAAGCGGAACTATGCTACTTCATTTTTTAAAATAACTGGTTAGCAAGTGTGTATCTCTGAGATGTCCAGACTGCCGGGTGAGGCTGAGGACCGTGGTATTGAGGGCACGAGGCGATGCTGTGAGTGTATCCTGGGGAAGGGACAGGGTCCAATGGCGCCACACGCTGGCCTGGGAGTTGTCCTTTCATTCAGAAGCCTAACAAGTGGTTCTAGCATTTTTTAAGTAGAGCCCATTTTTGGTCCACTGGGCAGAGTAACCCTGCAGAGCACCGAGAGTCCTGATGTCCTGCCAGCAAGTAACCAGCTCCTCACTCCAGTCTCAAGTGGCTGTTATGTAAGATAAACTCAAAGCACATTGTGAATAGAACTTAAATGGAACATGAACTTTGTTGCCCACTGACATGTTACAACGAAATTGTACCCTGATGTTTTGCTCCCGAGAGCAGGTGGGGAGGGCATGGAGCCTGGCTCCCTGGTCTGCCCCAGTCTGCCCCACCTTACCCCTCCAGGGGTGCCTTTCCGAACCTCTGCACACGGCACACAGATCATGGGAGAAGGTGTTTGTGGTGCCCTCTGGTGTTGGAGGATCCAAGTTCCTCTCTCTTTACCTCCAAGACAGGGTCTGTGATCCCTTCTCTAAGTGCTGCTCTCCAAGAACACGCATGCACTAAAGCTAGCAGTTGATAATAAACATAAATTATTTTGTTTTAAAATGCCTAAATTTTTTCTTTAAGTATTCTAAGCAGCAGACATTAAAATAAGAATATTTCCTGCTAAGTGTAACCATACAGTTTATTCCACAAAATGTTATTTAACAAGACTAAGTTTTTTTCTTTTTAAAAAAGAGATTATTTCCATCCAATATTTAAAGACTTGAATTTTATTTAAACTTGAAAATGACTTTGCCTTAACTTTTGTATATGACAGCGTAGAGTTCCTGAGACCGGCCTGTGTTGGCGTGAGTGGGGTCTGCTGTCACGGTGTTACTGGGTAAGCACTGTAGGAAGAGCGAGCAGTCATGTTTGTAATTTACCTGGAAGATCTTACACAGTTGATCTTTTTTCAGACTGTTGAAAAATCCTGTAAATGCAAATAGTCGATACTGTATTAAATATGTGCACTTGGGCGTGTGTGCTTTGCTTGTACAGTTGTAAATAATCAGAACATATTAAAAAGGTACCCTAAAGAGAAAAAGCTGATAAAAATTGATATATTATAAATGTTGCTATTGACCTGGATGTAGATAAACTCAGTGTTGTGGTTTGAATATTATTTTAATTTGTTGAGGTTTTTTCTTTTTCTCTTATACTGGTGTGCTGAACTGATTCTGCCTCTTTGCTGCTGTGAAAGGGAGATGGAAAGTTTTACTAAAACATTCGAATATTTTCATGCTCTTCTTAAACATATGTAAGTATGTACTAATCACAGCTAATGTTGAAAGGGTTTTTGAGGTATAATCTGGAAAGTGGAAACTGGCAGGGTCTTCAAGTGAAAGTAAAAAATAATCTACTTAAAATTACAAATAGCTAATAGGCATGACCTGCCTGCCAGAGGAAAACAAGCCCATCTCCTTCAGCAGCGTCTTTATTCAAATACCTAGACACCCACACAGCGCTCCTATTTGCAAATGCCTGTTAAAAGGAACAGGGGAATTTATTTCTTTGTAGTTTTGAAATTGCTGACTGAAAAAATCAGAAATAATTGACCTCTTACACCCAAACTAATGAGTACTGTAGAAAGAGCTGGAAAGGCCAGCTCTGAGCCCCCGGGATCCCATGACATGGCGGTCTCTGCTGGAGGAGGGAGCGATGCTGCCAGCACTATCCCCAAATCCCAAACCCTGTGCAGCCCAGACACTGGTTTTTAATAGTGACAGATCCTTTCCCTGGAGGCAGGTGTGTGGGGCCAGCTGTGCTGTCCGCCCTTTGTGTGACCAGGGTGGAGCTGTGCGTGCAGCTGGGATGAAGGTGACCGTGACAGCAGCTGGGCCCAGCCAGGTGGCATGGGCGGCCGGGCACATGAGGCCTATGCTCCCGCAGCCGAGTTAAGACTTCACTCTGATGTGATTTTTATAGCATTCTTTTTAATTAAGCAAGGGCAATATGCCAAAGAGCTATATAATGTCCCCCAATCTCCACCTTTCTGATATTCCTGAGGTTTTCCACTCACAGAAAAGCACAGGGGGTGCACAGCGGGAAGCTGTGGCGCCAGCCCACGGGCAGCCCCGCCATGCACAGCTGGTGTCTGGCTTCGTCCGTGTAAAATGTAACTCTTTCCTTTCCCCTGGCAGTACCTCAAGGTACAGAGTCAGACACAGCATCACAAATGGCATTTTAACTTGGACAATTATGTGATGATACTTGTCATTTGGAGAGATAAGAATGAGAACCCAGCCCCATTTCACCAGACATGAATTCAAGAAGAGTCGTTGATTTTAAGAGTCCGTGTCATGATGTTTCTGATCAGGCCCTCTTGTAACTGCATCACTGGTTGTTACTAGTGGTGGCAAGAAACCTGTCAAGTTGCCACATGGTCAGGGCCACCACAGTGCCCTGTGGAGGCCAGTCTGGGGCCTCGCGGGCCTCGGGGGCAGGTACGGCCCGTGTCTGCCTCTGCGTCCGTGGGGAGCGGCGGACAATCGGCCTGAAGGAGCAGCCACGGCACCAGCTCGCAGGAGGGCAGTGACGCGGACGCCTCGCCAGGGCTTTCGTTTCTGTTCTATTTCTTTTCATTAAGACTGGAATCAAGCTTATGTGTAAACTATTGGTAATTTAAGTTTCCTTTGTGTCATTCAGTGTAAAACTGTCTAATTTGAAAAAATGTAGGTTACGAAAAATAAAGATTTAGGCACTGTTTGGGTTTTCTTTTCATTTTTTTTAAATTAAAATTTTCTTCAAGAATGCACCTTTTTAAAAAATAGTATTTTGTTTGAACCCATCTGTGTCGTGAGAATGAAATGCGGGTTCCGTTCACCCATGTTTGGATCGTAGCCCGAGTCCTCACAGCAGGGGCACCATGCCTGGCGGCTCAGTTGTGGGCCTCCAGGGTCGGCCCTCAAGCCAGTGTTCGTGAGGGCACAGTTTGTTAAATTTGAGGTTTACCACAGAAATAAGTATCCCTGTGTCGGGCTCTTGTTTCTTGTGTTAAATGGCAACGTCTCAGGAGACATCCCCATAAAGTCACCTGGGGTGGAGGTGGGGCCCTCGTGTTCAGATCCTAAGTGAGCCTCAGCAACAGTGATGGACTTCACCCTAAATCAGGGTGACGCCAGCAGCAGTGGTTGGGCCTCCAGCATGTGTTATGTGTGATGGCTGGTCTGCCAGCTGGTGACTGACCCGTGCACCCCCTCCCCCATGTTTCTACTTGGTTATCCTTCCCTTGTTGATGTGGGCTTCTTTGTCTCTGGCTGTTCATTCTTTGTTACGTGTTGCAGATATTTCCTCTCAATCCCTACCAGCTGTCTAAACTCTATTTAGAGTAGCTTTTATCTTACAGTTTTTAATTATGTAGTAAAACTGACCCATCTTCTCCTTTATGGTTGAGTGTCTTGGTCTTGTTTATGAAGTCTCCCTACTCCAGAGCCATGAAGACAATCTCCCTTGATGAATACATGTGTCTTCAGCCCATGTGGAATTGGTTGATATGTGTGTGTGTGTTGTGTGTGTAGTCTGAAGTGAGAACCCAGTTTTACTTTTTGCCATGTGGAAACTTGCCTATTGAGTAGCTCATTATTCCTCCACTGATCCGTGTGCCACTCTTGTTACTTGGTTCCCTCCCACCTGCGCAGGCAGCTTTTTCTAGCCCCTCTAGTCTGTGCCTCTGGGCTCATTTCTCTGTGGACACCGTGGAATTCCACTCACCCACCATTCTGCCTTCCTAGCAATTTCCTTCATAGGACTCATCACAAAAATAATTCGATGTGCTCCCTGAAGGTGGGAATCAAGCCCGTCTCTGTCACCCTTGTATCCCCTGGTCTCAGTACACTGTCTGCAACATAGTAGAGGCTTAATAAATATCTGTAAAGTTGATGAAGTATCTACTGACTATGTGTTCTCCATGCACAGCCCTGGCATAGGAAATTGGGGGAGAAGTGGGGTGATGTGTTTGCCTTTTCCAGATAACTCTTTGCAAACTCAGTGGCTTGAAATGACAGGTCATACATCGGGACTGGCAGATGTAGGCCCAGCTTAGCAGCTCTGCCAGCCCTCAACCCCTCTTGCTCCCAGGTGCACGTCAGGCGCTCTGGGCCTGGCCGGGGACACACAGCTCATGGCTATGTGTGTCGTCCACGGGCCAGCCGAGGCGTGTTCTCTTGTGGCCGTGGAGTGGCACAGAGCTGAACCCTGAAGGACCCCAGATGTTTGCACCTCCCCCTCCACCAAGAAGTTGCAGTCGTTGCATTCCGTTCCTTGGCACGTGCATGTTTTTTAAACTAACGTTAAAGCCCTCTGTTTATCTAAATCACTGGGTAAAACCAGCAGTCAGAGGAGCACCCCCAGCACTGAGGCAGCCGGGCCTGACGGGCCACTAGCGCTTCCTGATCCGGGTGAAGTGCTGGACCACCTAGATTGAGGTGCGGGGGGCTCTTCCCCTTTACATACTGTGTTCCCAGTCCACCATGGGTGGTGGGTGGGGGAGATATGAGAAAGACGGCACTGCAGGAGGGTTTGGGGGCTTTAACAAGACTTCCCACAGTTCTCAGAGCCCGAGCGCCATGGAGCGTGGCCAGCGTGGGTGCCCAGCTCAGTGGGCCTGGTCCGTGTCTTCCACGTCGGGGCTCTGCCATCTGTGGGTCCCACTGAAGCTGAGGGAAAGGATGGTCAGCAGGACCCACCAGGTTCAGGATGGTGTTACAGAGGAGGCCGTCTGGTACCGACCAGGGGAAGGGCTGTCATGGCAGGGGAGCCATGGGGCAGGGACGCAGCCGTGGGCTGGATCCCCTGCGAGACCAGGGTCCACTGTGGTCAGACAACACGCTCTGTGTAATCAGTCCACTTACGTGTTAGGGCTTGTCTGTGACCCTGGATGTGGTCACCCTGGTGACTGTTTCATGGGTGCTTGAAAAGAACATGCACCAGATGCAGAGCTTGCTTGAGTGTGTAACGTGGGTCCAATCCTGGGGGGCGGGGTGCCGTCAGGTCCACACCCCAGCTGACATTCTGCCTGGTTCGCTCAGTCATGTCCCTAACGAAAGTAACAGATTTGTCTTACTGTGTTTCACTCTTTCTCATTCTCCTC